TCTATCCTACTTAAGGCAGAGATTGGAATTGTTTTTCCGAAGGTAGGCGACTATTGACTATTTTTGAGTGCGAGCTTTCCTTTTCAATAAGAAGAAAAAACTATTCTTTCTGTAGCTGGAGAAGTTTAGTCAAATCAATTCTTGTAAAAAGCTCCAAACTAATCAAAATGTTTCCAAATACCTTTTTCCAAAATAATCCCCAACGGAAACTAATCGTTTGAAATAGCTAGATTCTAAAACCAGGTTAAATAACAAAAAGGGCTAACATTAAATACCCATACTTCTTTAGTGGGTATTTCGTCATGCTTCCCTGTAACATACTTATGAGCAGTTGAGATTTACTGGCACAAATGTTTACAAATATGTATTTTGTCTCATACTGTAAATCTATCATGTATGATTTGTGCCAGAGGCGTTTGTTCATCTGTCCAAATCAAAGAGCAAAAACATTCCGGTTCTGCATTTGTGTATCTGCAGCACACCGAGGTCTTAGCCAACAATAACTGTTGATCTGTCTGTGTGGGAATATCTGTCTGCACTGCTGGGTCAGTGTAACTCCCTTACATATACCGTTGCGGTGAATAGCATCTTTTCTGGCATAAGTACCACGGAAAGAGGTCATTGGTGTTTCCAGCAAGAGTATCCACACAGAAAGTTACAGTAGTATAGCTATTACTGCATGAAATAATTGCAGACATTTCTGGATGACAACAAACCCTGAAACACTAAGGGACCATAACAGTAAAAATAACAGCTAAAAACTATGTGCAGATCACTCAACCAACCACAAGTAAGTAACATGATTTGAATTTGAAACATATGTGATCAAGGCTTTGAGGAAAATATTTGAAAAATCCTCATGTGAAAAAAATACCATTGGTAACGAGTGAATACAAGGAGATTATGAATGTTTAGGAATACTCTGTGACAGAACAATACTCAAAAGACACTCATTGTAAATTATGAGCTCAGCTTTGTCAAACACAAGATTTACGTGGGGAAATAACCAAAGCAGTGTTACAGGGCACATTCAGGAAAGAAGTGTGAAGTGCCTAAAGCAAACAAACACACAAGAAAACATTTATATCACTACAAAAGCAAACAACCAACTCTGTTGTCTGGTATTCGAGAAGGCAAGTATTCTTGAGGAGCTGAACACAGACTCTGTAGGGCTTTTGTGAAACTCCAACCAGTGAGTTTAGCCGGGATTTGTGGTGGAATCTGTGCAACTGTCTTATAAATTTCATTTCCTTCTTTGGTCCATTTGCAGTTGATGTATTCGGTTAGCTTGAGCAGCCTGTGAATATGGATTTTCACAAAAGCTGCAGTAGTGTTGCAAGTTCAAAGACAGATGCCGTATATTCATGAGATGCTCCATTGGTTGCAACCGGCATGACTGTTTTGCAATGCACACTCATCACAAGACCGTTTTGGATGTTACTGCTGGGCATTCCAATAAGCCTCAAAACTCTATCTGTTCAAAAAAGGGGCATAGCTAAATCAATTCCATAAGAGGAAACAAAAGCTTTCTTCTTTTTTCTCTCCTATAAAAGAAATAGGGCAGGCAAGACCTTGTGTATCCTCTTTTGTAATTGACTCTTCTTTTGAAAAGAACAGCTGCAGCAGCTTTCTATTAATAGACATTTTCCATGAAAATTTCAACACTGACAGCTTTCAGATAGTTGGAGGCCGATGCTTAACAACGATAATATATGTTCTTCAAGGGCATGTTGGTACTCTAAGGTTCTTTTTCGAATTCTCCCTTTCTTCTCAATTCGCAGTGTTTTTCTTTGTCTCAGTCATGCTTGCTTTCTATTCTGCTACAGTCACCATGTTAAAAGCCCTCTTTTGCTTCTTCCTCTATTCAGCGTAACTCTGAACTGTTCTTCCTCTCCACTACTGGCTTTATTCTCAGTCCTTTCCTTTATTATTCTCCATTGTATCCTAATTACGTATATTGCTCCCAAGTTGCAGGTTAGTGTTCCAAACACTGTCCTTCCGTGCCATCTTCCTTTCTTCTTTTACTCTCCTTACCTTTTCTGCTTTGCTCCTCTAGAGACCATGACTTCTTTAACAAACCACTAAAAAGTAACTTTCTATTCATTTGATGTTTTAACTCACTGAGTTTATACATCTTAATGCCATTTTAAATATATTTTAAATATGTTAAGCTGTTTAGCAGCACTCCTTTGGTGTATCTTTTTTTTTTTTTTAAATACTCCCAAGCTAATGGATTGCCAATTAATTAGAAATAGTTAATCTTAGCAACAGAATAAACATTTCATGTGTGTATCTCTTGTGGAGCTTCTAAACTAATTTTTATGACTGCGTTGCTAACCGTTCTCACTACTTGGCAGTCTGTCAAGAGAAATAAAAGTTCTCTGAGCAGATATCCAGGCCATAGTTTGCTGAATGTTTAGTTTAAGCAGGATGCTTCTGCATCTTCTTTCCTTCCCTTCCTTCACTGCTTGTTCCCAAGCTGTACTGTCTTTAAGGATATCAATTTTGGGAAGATGCAGTTGAGCTCCATCAGCATAAAGCCAGATTAAAAATGAGCACAAAAACTGATTATTTTGAACTCCTGATTGTTTCTGACCTGGTTCATTGTGTGGAGCCCCATGTGCCAGCTTGGCCAAGGAAGAAACACAACGGAGGGAACAAGTAGCAGGGAAGATTTTGAACTACTGCTGGAAGAAACGTTCAAAGTATATATCCCAATGTCTCCAGAATCAAGGAAAAAACAGCCAAAAGGAAGGGGAGCAGGCAGAAGGGAAAAAACCCTACATTGATATAGATATTTAGTATGTGTTATGCACAAGGACAACTCTGGTTAAAACAACAAAAATAAAAACCCGATCATTAAGAATGGTTACCGAGATACAGGTGCAATCATAAATTACTCATACCTGCTGGAGTTGGTTCCTCTTCATCTGAGGCTGCACAAAGAGGGAAGGGGGGAGAGGAAGGAAGGAGAGAAAGAGAGAAAGAGAGAAAGAGATGCGTGTATCCAAATAGCGCTAATTGTTATTGTTATTTACATTTTCTTAATATATGAAATAAACAATCAAATATCACCAAAAGCTAGTTTATTTTATACAGTTTGAATCAACTTCAGTAAAATCAGATATTGCATCTGAGATATGTGTGTGTGTGTGTGCGTGTGCGTGTGTGTCTGCTTAACTCTCCAATCCAAACATTTGTCTGAAGAAAGCAAGAGGAATATGTGTCTGCATACTAGAACCTTTCCCTTTTTGTTGTAAATTAAATTGCCTTAAGTTACAATTAGATTTCACCTTAGACTGTACGTATTACCTGCCTATTCAAACTAAAGCCAGTAGATAGACATACTCACAGTAAAACCGTATTTTAAAAGCACGTCAGTGACCTAGTTCTTTCTCTCCTTGCAGTCAGAATGTTTATATACACATTCCTCATAAAATGGTTTTCTTACAGTCCTGAAAAATTTTCAACAAAAGAGAAAGCAGCAATCAAGTGCTTCTCACTTGGATGCTCTAAAAGCATCTAGAAGTCTGAGGGGACTCTCCATGCACGTGATACAGAAACCCTCTTAAATTATTAGAGACATGTATCCATACTACCATTTTCTTTTTCTTTTAATCAGTCTCTTCCATCAGTTGAAACCTAAGCTTAACCTGTTTGATTTCTTGCAAAATCTGTTCCACACACACATTTTTCCGAAGGAGTCCTCTTTTCAGCCTGACAACGCAGCCCATTTACTTGGGGCTTAACAGACCGAAGGGCCCAAAGCTCCTAACGTCCCTGGAGGCATTAACTCACCATGGTGCTTTTAGAACTTGCACTTGGCAAGGACAAGGATTTCAAACATTTCCTCAAAGATCAGCACCACGCCTGGTAAATTAGCTTGTTTACCTTCAGTATCAACCCATGTATTATGATAGGACAAAACAGAGAAGGGGCAGGAAAATCTTTTCTTATTTTAGTGCAATTTTGTCAGACATAACAGACGCCCTATGACCGTGAGCATCCTCTCAGCAGACATGAACTACGTTCACTACTAACTATAAATTCTGGCTAATTTAATACAACATTCTGTATGCAACTGCATGTGACTATCACTCAGGAAACATCATCACTCCTAATTGCAAAGTAGGGCAGTGTTCTGTTAGGGCCGTCCAAACCAGTCAATAGAAAATAATGAATTACTGGCTGAACGAAGCACCAGCCAACTATCTTGTCTCTGACTAGAGTTTTCTGAGGTAAATAGGTGAATAAAAATCTTTTTATTTATATAACTTTGTGTTCAACTAAACAATTAAGAAGGATATATTACAAGAACAGAACATTATGAAATGTATAATATAAACTGTCCTAAACAAGGTACTTAGCAGTCTATCCCTTCCCTTTTATAACTTTGTTTTCAGAATCTAGATGCATACTGTGACATTACATGGATCTATTACATGTCTGTGTGTGTGTGTACACATATACACACACACACATATATACACACATACAGAGAAAATTAGATCAAGCTTTTAAACTTTACAGTTACAGTATGAAAGTGTTGTTTTATTGAACATTCATCGAATTTAAGGAAAATGTGCTTGTAATACCAAATGGTTTCAAAAAAATCAGAGAAACAAAGAGAAAATACTATCCTATTGTTTTCAAATTAGTCAGATACATCATTAGCTCAATAACAACATGATAGCTAATTCCCCTGAAAGAAACTGACTTTTAAACCTTGAGAGCAACAGAACCAAAACTAAATAAACGAACTACAAAACTATGTATATTGCAATTTCTCAAGCTATCAGTGGTAGAGAGGAAAACTAGACAAGCTGAACAGAACATAAAAGTTAGTTAGAAGTTCGGTTATTAAATTATGTAAATGTCCAAAATCTCTATTAACTACAAGCTCAACTTTTGCTTGAACAATGAATAAATAAAAATATGTGACTGTGTATGCGTGACTGTGTAGGCATATTAAAATTAGTTAAACAATAATATTCAATTACACAACGTATATTCAAAATTCATTCCATTAACTACTTTTTTTTTCAGGCAGCTATTTAAATATTATTTGTAGAATTAATTTTTGTGATGAATACTAGCATTGGCAATTCAAAATCGGATTCTGATATTACTCTGATGGATGTTTCAAGGGGACCACTCTGTACTTAGGCACACATCTAAATAAAATAGGATAACTGCATCTCAACTGAAATAAATCATTGAGATGCTGAGATAGTTATGTTGGTAACATTATATCTCTGCTTATTTCATTACCTGTGACTATTTGACTGCTGTTTTAGGCTGTAAATTCTTTCAGAAAGGGACTGTGTTTGTTTCTATTCCAGTAAAGCTCAATTCTCTAACAAATAACCATACAACTGATCCTTTGTAGTTTCACATTTTTTCCAGAAATCAAGCACAATACAATGAAAGTCTTTGTCTTTAAAATCAGTAACCTAAAAGATGACAATAAGATCACATGTATTGTATATAATACATGCCTATTAAACAGAGAAGGCCACTGTAACCTTTAGTGAGATTATAACTACTCAATATATGTTATCAGAGACCAAAATATTTAAATTCAAAACCCTGCCTGGCTGAATAAATATAATATGAATAGACATGTGTCACTGATGAAAAATTAACTCATCTTCCTCGCTGCGGTCTAATGGCATGCCATGATATACGACAGCAGGAGTTTAGAACTGCTTTTGTAAAAGGACCTAGGTCTAGTTGTCAATACTGTATTTCTTAACCTGGCATCTGTCTGAATGAAAGATGCATATTAAAATGAGATATGAAAACACAGGTATGAACTTGTTTGTACTTCATGCACATATTTTATTGATTTTCAAGTGAGCTTAATCTCTTGTTATCTGTAGGAGGATTTCTTTCATCCCACATAGCTTGACAGACCACGTTTACAAAACAGCCTTTAATAAGCCACAGAATACTCAAAGAATACACTATTTTTGTTTTATCATCCTGCCTCAACTGGCATGTCAGCACTCAACTCTCCATTAGTTAAGTAAATTCACTAAATTATCACACTGAAAAATCCCCACACAACACTTCTTTTCCATGAGAGCTTCCTATCCTGAAGTTAATTTAAAAAGCTATTTATACAGTGAGTCATATCCATAGTGATTAGCTGTAAATTACTTTCTCTACTTATTTCAAAGGGGTGGAGAGGCAATAAGCCGGAATCACCTTGCACCAGTGAGCTGGCACGGTCCGCTGACTCGTTCTGCCTGGCCGTGGATCTGCCCAGGCTCCCTCCTCGGGACTCAGGGGCGAGACTGCGCGCCAGAGCCAGGTATTTGACAACGACATCCCCCAGCCACTGTCACGGGCATCTTAAACTTATGGCCTGATAACAATATTGCATAACCTTAAGCTGCAAATTAGCCTGCAGTTTTAAAATGTTTTCAAGTGCGCGTTTCTTCCCCTTGTCATGCATCATTGACAAAATATAATAAGACATATGGCAGCACAGATATTAACTTTTATTTTCTTAGAAAAAGTCTGATGCACATTTGGGATAACTCAATCATGTTTTCCTCAAAGACAAGTATGTATCCTCCAGCATGTATCACACTATTAGCTTCAGAGCAATATGAGAAAGAAACGTTCAGATAGTATCTGAGTAACTATGCAAAGCTTCAGAATATTTCTAATACAAATGTAGATGACTTGAGAAATCTAGAAAAAATCTGAATTTTGAAGCATAGTAAAAGTTGAGAGAGGTAGAATCACTATAATATTAGTTTTGTGTTTATAGTAATGCTTGTGTTAATCCTATATTGATGTGAAGTGTGCTTGCCCTTAACATTCAAATAAAAGGTAAGAGCCATATACAAAAGAATAAACTTTGATATACTGTATTGTCTCTATGTGAAAGCCTATGCAGGAAGAATTCTGCAAAATAGCCCAAATAAATCACCTGTGAGCAGTAGGATCCAAGAGCAAGAAACAACATTTTCTGACTTCAACTTTAAATTAAGAGAACTTAAAATTTTTTTAAGTGATACTCTACTCTGCATTAAATCTCAGGGTATCAAAGGATCTTCAAACTACCATGGCTTACTGACTTCCAATCAACTCAGCATCAGTAGTTAAGACTGCAGTTTTAATGATACAGATGTTTCACTGAAAATAACAGCTTAAGAAGTCTGTCTCCTCTCCTCTTCCCTAGTCTACAGACTTTAGTTCACTCTTCCTTAAGCTGGCTCAGTCCTCTTCTCTGGTTCATAGCACGGCACTGCAGGCAGTATTGGCATAACTGATGAGGTAGGGTATCATCAAGCAAAGGACTAATCATGACAAGCAGTGTTTCCACCAAAGCTCCCGTATCATCAAACCACAGGATCCCTTTGTCCCACTCTGCCTATGATGTTAAATGCGATAAAGACATCTCAAAGCCACAGCCTGGATGATTAACACTAACTCACCGATTCATAGTAGCTCCAATGGTTGCCGCTGTAAGCAGTGATATAAATAATTTTCACTACAAGTAAAACCCATGAAAACGAGAATTCTTTCAAGAAGCATAATTTGTCTGTCTATATTTAGATCGGTTCATACCACTGCTTGAAATGAAAATGAGCAGGTCATCTGATACTACGTGATACTGACTGGAGGTAATGAACACAGGAAGTTTGCCTGTGATGATGACTGAATACAGATAACAGATTAAGTAAAAACATTTTTTAAGCTTTGTTCCTGATTCCTACAAAAGCATCTGCCCCCTGTTCCTATTTCTCTCTCCCCTCTGCCACCTCCAAAATCTAGAAATCTGGTCTAACAATGTGATTGCTGGGGCCATTATTTCTCTCTTCAAGTCAGTAACACTGAGTGGTTACACTGAAATGTGCATTAGCAATTATCATATTAAACTGTTTTGTATCTCTTTTTAATTTTAAACTTTTCTTCCTAG